GGGACCACATAAATACTGCCTTCAGGGCACCAAAGAAGACAGACAGATCAGGAGAAGAAGAAACAACAACATTTCTTGTACTTCATCTCCCCTTTTTTAAGTTTAGAGTCTGTTTTCTTATCAAATTTTACTTTGATCTGTGACTTGAAGCACTAATCATGAGACTTAGAGTTCTGGCGTTTCTGGTTCTTGGAACCTGTTCTTTAAGAGCCTGGTGTGTGCCACTCAAATCTGTGTATGTGACGTTCCCTGGAGATGTGATCAAGAACATGACAGACACACAGCTGGCAGATGTGAGTATATCAAGTTTTAGTTCATGTGTTGTTGTTTTTTGGATATCTTCTCTCAGCCATCTACTTTTGAAATAGTACATTGCAGTTGATTTTATTTTTCTATATGAATTCCTCTCCTGTCTAAATATTTGACTCCAGGAGTACCTGAAGCGTTATGGCTACGTAGATGTTATACAGAAGAGTGGACTGCAGGCAGTCATGTCCACTTCTAAAGCACTGAAGGAGCTCCAGAGGCAGCTTGGGCTGGAGGAGACGGGCTCGCTTGACCAGCCCACGGTTGATGCCATGAAGCAGCCTCGCTGTGGGGTCCCAGACATCCGCAACTATCAAACTTTCGATGGAGACCTGAAGTGGGATCACAATGATGTTACATACAGGTGGGATATCATCTACACCATCGACACCTTAACTATTGATCGACACATCTCATAGGTTTGTAATGAACACACTATAATCCATTGTGTTGTTTTGGTATGCAGGATTTTGAACTACTCACCTGACATGGAAGCCTCTTTGATCGATGACGCCTTTGCCAGAGCTTTCAAAGTCTGGAGTGATGTTACCCCTCTGACGTTCACGCGCCTCTATGACGGCACTGCTGACATCATGGTCTCCTTTGGGAAAGCAGGTGAGGTGGTTTTTGTAATAGATTCAAGTTTTAAGATGTACCACTGTTTGAATGAGTTTGATTGAGCTGTTGTTTTTGTTTCAGATCACGGCGATCCCTACCCTTTTGACGGGAAAGATGGGCTGCTGGCTCACGCCTATCCTCCAGGTGAGGGAGTGCAGGGGGATGCCCATTTTGATGATGATGAATACTGGACACTTGGCTCTGGACCAGGTGAGAGTGATTCTTCATTCATATTTCAGTACACCCCATTTTCACTGTATGTATACAGTAAGTAGTTTAAACACCATGTAGCATCATACTCTCTAACAGTTGCATAAGATCTATAGTGTAACAGTAGCTCCCTCAAAAGTTTTGAGTGTATAGTATTTTTTTCACATGTAGTATAAATGAGTCCTTAGATAATAAATGTATAGCTTTGTTTTTAAACTGGGGTCCTGCGGTAATATTTTAAATAGTATTTGCTTTGTGTTCCATCCAGTAACAATAAGAAAGACAATTAATTCAATTTGGAAACATATTGTCTTTATAATATCACACTTAATATTTTTCATAAATAATGCAATGAGTTCTTATATATTAAAAAAACGTATACCTCAGGTCAGGTCAACATGTTTACCCCTGTATACCCTGTCTTAAAATTTGTGGAGAAGACAATGACATTGATGTGTCTCCTTCAGCGATTCAAACCCGCTATGGAAATGCAGAGGGTGCAATGTGTCACTTCCCCTTCCTGTTTGAGGGAACATCTTACTCCACCTGCACCACAGAGGGGCGCACAGATGGTCTCCCCTGGTGTGCAACCACCGCAGACTACGACAAGGACAAGAAATTTGGCTTCTGCCCCAGTGAGCGTAAGTGTTCCAGTCATGATTTTATGGGGCTTTAATTCCAAAATAGACATTTAAACTGACTCCTTTGGCCTTAATATGTGGAATTAATATCACAATATTTCAACAACCACAAGTATTTATTATTATGAGCACGGCTAACATTCTGTCTCTGTTTTCCCCCAGTTCTCTTCACATTTGACGGGAACAGCAATGAAGCGCCGTGTGTTTTCCCCTTCGTGTTTCTGGGGGTAAAATATGACACATGCACCAGAGATGGACGAACTGATGGGTATCGCTGGTGTGCCACTACAGCTAACTTTGACACTGATAAGCAGTATGGATTCTGCCCTAACAGAGGTAAGCAGCTCTCGTACCTTCAGACTGAACCCTGAAACTTTAATGAAGTAAGATATATACATATATTAATATGTTATAATATAATATTTCCCCTTACAGATACAGCCGTGATTGGTGGAAATTCAGAAGGTGAGCCATGCCAGTTTCCTTTCACCTTCCTTGGAAACGAATACTCTTCTTGCACCAGTGAAGGCCGTAGTGATGGAAAACTCTGGTGTGCAACTACCAGCAATTATGACACAGATCAAAAATGGGGATTTTGCCCTGATAGGGGTAAGTGATAATCATCTCCTTCAGACACTATAAAAATATGAAAGTGAGACATTGGCTAACATGTCTTTTCTCTCACAGGATACAGTCTGTTTCTGGTGGCTGCTCATGAGTTTGGACATGCACTTGGTTTGGACCACTCCAAAATCAAAGACGCTCTGATGTATCCCATGTACAGATACATAGAGGATTTCTCTCTGCATCGTGATGATATCGAGGGCATTCAGTATCTTTATGGTATTTATCCAATTAAACCATCCATCACTTACTGATTGTTAGCATTACTATGCATTTTCTTATTCAAAATTCAAGATTTTTGATGTTGAAACCCCAAGAGTCTTGTAGAGTTCTGGTCTTATAGCTATATTATTTCATTGTTTCTTTTCAGGACCTAAAACTGGCCCTACTTCCACTCCTCCAGAACCACAGTTCACCACTTCCTCTCTGATTTTGCCAACTAAATCCACTGTTTCTACCACAACTCATGTAGACCCTTCACAGGATGTCTGCCAAATCAAGGAATTTGATAGCATCACTGAAATCCAGAAAGAGCTTCATTTCTTCAAGGATAGGTATGAGCTATAATTCTACATAATTAGCGATATGAACTAACAAACTTAACTTAGAAAACAAACTTTATTATGCCTAATTCTCACTTACATGTTTCTAAATTCTCTCTTAAAGGCACTACTGGAAGATCTCAAAAAAAGGAGAACGCGAAGGTCCTTTCTTGATATCTGAGAAATGGCCTGCCCTGCCAGCCGTCATTAACACTGCCTTTGAGGACCAGCTCACAAAAAAGATCTACTTCTTTGCAGGTACTTATTTACCAGGTTGAGATATTTCGATATTATTGACAAACATGTTCAAATTTAGATATATATAACTGTTTTTTCAACTGTATCTAATGCACACAGAAAAACAGTTCTGGGTTTATACTGGAAATGAGGTGTTTGGACCACGTAAAATCGAGAAGCTCGGCCTGCCAAGCAACTTGAACAGAGTGGAGGGAGCTATGCAGAGAGGAAAAGGCAAGGTGCTCCTGTTTAATGGGGAGAACTTCTGGAGGTAAGTGAACTTTGCTTCAGGACTGTAACGTGTAAGAGCTCATCAGAAAGTGTAAAGCTCTGTAATTGTAGTTTTTCCACAGTATTCTTATCTCTTATTTATTGTCATAGACTCGATTCAAAGGCTCAGATGATAGACAGAGGATACCCTCAATTCACTGACTCAGTTTTTGGTGGAGTTCCCATTGATTCACATGATGTGTTCCTCTATAAGGGTGAGATTATGTTCAAATGAATAGTCTAAAATAGTTAATAAGGTCGGATTAACTACTCTGATTTATCTGATCAAGCAAATGACACTTGTTTCTGCTCTTCTTCAATATTTTTCAGGATTCTTTTACTTCTGCCGGGAGAATTTCTACTGGAGAATGAATGCCAGAAAGCAGGTTGACCGAGTCGGTTATGTGAAGTACGACCTCCTAAAATGCTAAGATGTGCAGTCACTGTGCACAGTGAAAACGTCCAACATCCTAACCTGATGACAGAGCCCTTTTTAATAGGGAAACCATTTCTCTTCAGTGTAAAATGTAGTAAGGAAGACACAGACAGAATGTATTAAATTTAAAGTCTCTGTTATGGAGATTTTGACTTTAACTGTTACAGGAAAATAACTGATTTAACACTGAAATGATCATAGGTACATGAAACAGGATGTTATGCATATTTGTCTGTCAGCTTTAACATGGTCTTATAATTTATTTTCCGCTTACGCTATAACTGCTTTGTTCATGACGAGTTTCTTAACAGCACATTCAGAGAAACTAATCTTGTTCTATAAAGCTACAATGAGACACTGCCAGTCTAATTCTAGGAATTAAGTTTGTTTTTGTAAATATATGAGTGGAGTCACCTCAGGGAAAATTGTAGCGTAAATGCATTTGTTATCAAAGCATCCATTCTCTGTGTTGACCCCAATCGTATGGTTTTCAAAGCAAAGGTTTATTTTTAGCCTTAGAGCTAATATTGAGATGTTATTAAGTCCAGATTTTGGCGTATTGTGAAATCATTTGCCTTGTGTAAATGATATATTATAATATTATTAATTTAATGTTCCACATTCCACTTATTTATATTTTTATGTTTGTTGCATTGTTTATGATTACTCAATAAATGTGTAAACAAGACCATTCAGTCCTTGTGCAACTGCTCTATCATTATATCTAGGCAAAGAATCATATTTGAAAATACAGCAAAATACTGAATTTGTTCTATATAACAAGTTTACACAAAAATACAAATCGGTTTGAAATGCTATTTAATATTCAAAATCTAATCACTGCAGACTATTTTAAACGGTTGTCACACAAATATTTGACATTTAGCAGCTAGTTAATATTGAAAGATTTCAAGTGTCATATTTGTATGTGTGCAGTAGCCATTAATGTACACATATGACACAACCACACACACATTTTATTACAACAGTTATCATTTTGATACAAATACAATTTAAATTGAAATACAATCACTTTTTTATGACAGTTTGGACAATTTTGTGTCATATTTGATACATAACTGACATAGGAATACTGACACAAAGCTGTCCACTGTCCACTGACATTTTAACGCTGCTACATGATTTACAAAAACTCGCCTGATTTTCATAAATTCCCCTCATGAGAAAATGCTAAAACTTAAAGCGCAGGACTAACTTTACAAATAAAATCTTTTTTTTTTTTAAAGGTCAAAATAGTAGTTTTCGCAGAATGACAGCACATGCAGTGGGGAACACGTCTCATTTATATCCGCGGCACAGATTTAACAGAATGTAAATTGACTCCTTTATAACATATGACCCCCCTCACATTCAATCTGTGAAAAAAAAAATATATATTTTGGCGTTATCAACAAATTATAAATGAGAATCTTAGGATAAACAACTGGCGTCATATTAATCCGCGAGACACTCGGTGGTTTCATCCTCTGAGAGCAATAGTCCTCCGGTTCGCACCATTATTTGACAAAACACTTAAAAGATGAAGCGAGATGGTCGATATTCATGTTCTGTAAATAAAACATCATTTATAAAATAAATCGAGATACATTATAAAACAGATTAAGGGTTTCTCCCTTTCGTCTGTTCCCCCTGACGCATAAATGAGTTCCGGCCAGCTTTGAGGACAGGAAGCGGGGAGACGCTGATGGCGCCCGACTAGAAACAAGACCAACTATTCGCTTTCAAATATCTATTTTATTTCGCCTCATTCGCGTGCGTAAAGAGCGAAACAGTCGTCCATTCAAGGTAAGAAAAAATCCTAGCTCAAAATAATGGTGTAAAATTGTGTACAAATACAGTTTCTTCCCTGATGGGCAAGAGAAAAACATTCGGGCGAACTGGCTTTCCCTGCTCGCGCAGGCCCTCGAGGTCCCCGAGCGGTTCTTCATATCGCCTGAGCGGAAAAAAATAAACTCGGAGCGGCGGGAGGGAAAATGGCGCTGCGCGAGCAGGCAGGACGAAGGGCAGCACAAACGATCAAAGAGCAGTCGCAGTCCGTGAGAGGACTCGCGTGTTATTAGCATCTGATATAGTGACATTTTCTTCATTAAATTGTTGGTGTACTCAGCATCAGAACGTGTCATGTTGAGCAAAGAAAGTCTGAGTCAAAAGAAAGACTTAATGTCCCAACCACAGCTGGACGGGTGTTCTGGTGGGGAGGGACTGATATCAGTTGAGAACATGTGAGAAATCAAACATTTTAGATGATTTTTTTTCTGTTATTTGAGTGCATTTAATGCGGGGACCACGCTGGCTTGTGGTTTTGCTGCTAAGCTTATAACGTGCTTGAGTGACCTAGAAAGGTGCCATCACAAGACAACTGTATTCATCCCCTAGTGGAATTTGACACTACAGCAGTAGACATACATCACAGAGTATGAAATAATAATGAATACAGTACAACACAAAATATAAAGAAGAAATGCAATAAATAATTTGGAAAATTCTAGTTTATTTAGACATCTGGTTGTACAACTTGATTGCAACAAGGCTCTTGAGCAAATTCTGCAGAAAATACACGGGTGGATCTATACTTCTGTGAATGAATGAAAAATACACCATGAATTTGTGCAAACGTTATAGTTTGCAGTGGTTCATACAGATCCACACGTTCACAATGGAGCGGTTCATAGAATGCTATTTTGAACTTGGACTCAAGTATGAAGAAATACAGTCAGTGCTTGTTCAAGGCATCGTTGTGGGACATTCTGAAACGCTTAATGAGGGTTAAAACAGAGAGACTGGAGGACCAAATTCTGTACACACCTTATTAATAAAGCATACTGTTTACAGACAAACAGAATAGCCCAGAATATGAACGCAACGCGCTAAATTGGTCGTTAGCGCTTTATCCCCCATAGAAAAAAAAAACCGCTTAACGTGATATAAAAAGGCCAAATTCGGTATACAGTTTATTAATAAAATATACTACATACAGGAAAGCAGATAAGGCCTGAATATGAATGGAAATGCCTTTATACAGAAAACGCTTAACGTGGCTTAAAGGCACAATATGTAAGATTTTGTTATTAAAATATCCAAAAACCATATATTTTGCTGACTTGTGTACTTACATTATCTAAAATGTTTCGAAGAATGTTTAAATCCAGAGAAATAAGCAATTTTAACTAGTGACACGGACCGTGTTCATAGTGTCATTGTGTCGCCTGCCAATGACGTCATAATCCCTCGATTTCCGGTTTTGTTTTGTAGAAAACATGGAAACACCAAAGACGCTTTAATATGTTGTGCGTTTTAATAGACCGGTGACAACCGCACAGAGTAGCATTATAACAGAACTTTCAAATGTATCTAGTATGATAAAACAGCGCTGCTTTTTTCCCACATAAGCACGACCGGAAGGGGGGGGCGTCTTCAAGATGGCGTCGGTGTAGGTCGTGTTTTCTTTGCTCTTATTTGAATTTTGTGCAAAACTTGATTTTTCTTCCTCCCCGAAGACTAACTTTGTTTTCATGCGTTGATTTTATACAATTTATGCTCTCCATATTTATTGTACTGCGATTAGTGAGTTTGTATATATTTTTGCGAGCTTTTTCCTCTTTTCGACAACGACTATTCACTGGATAGGCTACAGCACGTGTTTGGATTCTAGAATTGCGGTGTGGCGTCATGATGGAGGTGGATGACATCTCGAAGTCTGAGAGTGTTAAACGTATGCATACTTATGCCAAATCTGCTAATGTTGTGGACTCACTGGATACGTGCTTTCCCGAGTCTCCCGGAGCAAGCCCTTTGCCGAAAATGCGGCGCCCAGCCTCAGATCCTTCAAATGCGGTCCTGCTTGAAGCTATAGAGAGACTAGGTAAGAAGCAAGATGACTTCATGGAGAAACTTTTGGAGATCGAGAAATCTGTCGCGTCCAATTCCATCCTCATCTCTGACCTTGCTACGAGGGTCGACGTTGTTGCTAAAAAGTCAGAAGATACAGCTGCTAAATCTGATAAAATGGACTCTCAGATGTCTACGTTGGCTGCAGAAAACAAACGCTTATGTGATAACGTGGATGAGCTGGACGCCTATAAGAGACGATGGAATCTAAGGATCTTGGGTGTTCCGGAGGTCGACGGGGAGAATGTCAAAATGATCATAATGGACATTTTTCTTCAGCTGTCCCCAAGTTTAGCGGATGTTCTGCAAACTTCGATTGATGTTGCGCACAGGCTTGGCCCTAAATTGGGCAATGCACGCCCTCGCACGATAATTGTACAGTTCCTCTCGCGGTCTCACCGTGATCGTGTTTGGGCTGACGCAAAAAAATCTGAAGTGATCAAACAGAAAAAAATTAGGATAACAGAGGACCTGACCCAGAGAACGAAGGAAGCCCGGAACAAACTGTGGCCGTTGGTGGAGAAAGCCCGAAAAGAGGGTCGTCGAGCTGGTTTAAGGGCCCATTTGCCATCGTTGATGGAAAGAAGATTTGTGCGGATGATAACTGACTTCTAATGGACATTAGAGGTTAAGTGCCCAGTTATGGTCATTGCCATCTTCACTGCAAAAATTTTAACTGGCAAAATAATTGTACGGAAACTGACAAGAAGTTGATAAAAACGCAGTACTGTTGTTGTTAAGGTAAGCAGAGGGCAGATTGAAATAATAGTTTGCGCTGTTAAAGAGGGGTTTGAATAAGTTTCAAGTTTTGCACTTTATTGTACCTTGTATTACATTTCATATTCTTTGTTATTAGTGTAGCATTTAAAAGTTCTCTTGTTCTCTTATTGTTCTTATGTCAGTTAAACTCTCTTGTTTTTCTCTTAATGTGCGGGGGATTCGTGACTTATCTAAACGCAAAGCTTTATTTTTATTTTGTATGTCACAGAAAAGAGATTTTTATTTTCTTCAAGAAACACATTCTTCTTTCAAAGATTAAACTTTTTGGCGTAATCAATGGGGAGGTAATATTTTATTTTGTCACGGTACTAACCGATCCGCTGGAGTTCTGATTTTGTTTGATCGTAATTTTAGCGGCTCTATTCTTCAGTCCTTTTCTTCTTCTGAGGGCAGATGGATTATTGTTGTTATTCTTTTGGGAGATTTCTTGTTTATGCCTGAATGCTGACCCTAATTTGTTATGGTTTTATATTCCTAAACAGATCTTTGATAAATGTGGAGGTTTAAATTTTTCGTTAGCTTGTGATTTTAGTTGCAATAAACTCCCAGTTAAGCGCGCTAATTTTCATAAGCGAGCTCTGGATGCTTGTAAGCTTGCCTTCTGTCACAGTTTTTCCCCTCATAGATGTATTCTATGGAATAATCAGAATGTGCTGCGTGGAAAAAAATCTGTCTTTATGAAAAACTGGTTTGACAAAGGTGTAATTTTTGTTTTAGATTTGTTAAAAAAGGATGGTAACTTCTATTCCTATTCTGAATTTTCAGAAATCTTTGAAGTGGATACCTCACCTAGAGTGTATGAATGGGTTATTAATTCTATTTCACCTAAACTGTTACATTCGGTTAGGGCAAGTTGTTACAGATCTTCAAAATGTGAAATGCCAAAAATTTGTATTGGAGGTCTGGAGCTTTCTAATGTTAAATGTAACAATTTCTGGATTAGAAAAATCCTTATTAAGAAGTTTAGCTGTCATCCTAAAGCATTTTATAAGTGGAAAATAAATTACCCTTTTCTTTCTACTATTAAAATATGGGCCGGTATTAACAAGTTTCTGTTACCTAACAAGATGAAAGAACTTTACTATAAGATTCTTCATATGTATTTTGAATGCAAGGATTTTTGGAAAGAAATATCTTGGCTTGTTTTCTCAGCTTACAACAAACTTTTTAGTCTTTTTAGTTTTAATGCACTATTTTTAATTTGGGAATCAGGATCAAAGGAGCTGGATGATATCTTAAAACTGTTAACTCTTTGTGGCCTATTTCATCTTCACAAATGTAAAGTTACTGAGTGTATGCCCAATTTTAGGATTTTTTGTATTGATTTGAAATTATTTTATGAATCTCTCTGCTCTTCACTTAACAAGAAAGCTGTTAAAACTACTGTATTGATGGAAAAAATATTGACTTTAATGTAAACCTCCTGTGTATTCTTTGAAGTTGACATTTTATATGTAATTTTCCATTTACGTTATTTTTTATTTTAATTTATGATTTATTTATAAAAAGGAAAGAAAAGATGTTTCATTTTTAATTTTTGTTTTTGTTCTTTATATTTCATTTTTATTATTCTTTATATATTTGTTTTGTATTCTGGTTGTGTATGTAATTTATTGCTATGACTGTATCCCCTGTGAATGTTATATCTTCAATAAAAAAAAATAATAATAAAAAAAAAAAAGGAATCACAAGAAAAAACTCAAAAAAAAA